TAAACTGAATATATTTGGCTTTTGGACTTTTGGGCGAAAAACCAACCAATTAGAATACATCCTCTTGGGCTGACCAATATTGTAACTTGTTTCTCACTTTTTCAGAAATGTCATGATTAATGAACAAAATAATTGTTAGTTGCAGTAATTCTTGCCATAAAAGTATCAATTTTGAACAAAGTTATATTGATTGAAACCTGTCACTATGTTGAAGTACTTTACATTGCATATTGAAGCTGTCACTACATGTTATCCAATAACATGCAGGAATGTTAATCTGTGCGTTCATATATGCTTCTAGGCTGTTGAGACCATGGATAAGGCTGCTATGCCCTGCCAGGCTTTAGTCAGGATGTTGGCCAAGAAACCGGGCTGGAAGGAGACTAACTTCCAGGTGAGTGTCTCAGTTACAGCAGCTGACATTGGAGCTTGCTGGCGGCTTCCCTCGAGCAATGTGGCACCAACTTCTTTGACTTGGAAAGTAACATTGCCTCCAGGAAAATACTACTTGGCTGTGTTTGGCTTCGACAGTAGCTCTTTTAGAATGTGTTGGCCAAAAAGGATGGCTTCAGTCTCATTATACTCTGTAATCTCTACTAGAGGGTACAAAGTAAGTGTGCGTGTGTGTGTGTGTGGTTGTGTGTCCAAATGTTATAAGGAATGTGGAAATTATGTGTTAGATGATGAATCACTCAAAAAGTTGGGAGTAATACACTTGAGTTTTTCCACTTTAGTATCAAACCACGGTGAAAACCAACAGATATTTTAAATAAAGGATCTTTTTCATCCAGATCCAGACTTTGGCTGTGTCTGGTCTCATACGTCCAAACACTGGAACTAACGCTGTGGTCTCGTCTCTCGCTGTGTAGGTGATGCAGATGAAGCTGCACATTGTGGCGCTTATAGCTCAGAGAGGACAGTTCTCAAAGACATCAGCCTCTGTGGTTTTGGACGGCTTAGTGGACAAGGTCGGAGATGTCAAATGTGGCGGAAATGCCAAAGAGGGACTAACTGCTATTGGAGAGGCCTGCTCACTACCGTGGACTGCAGAACAGGTTTTTAGCCCATTTCTCTGGTCACAAGATACAACACATTTTTATCCTATACCAAAGAGTGATCAACAGGCCAGTAGATGTTGATAATGATGATGCTGGATGTATTTACACGGTTTGACTTGTATTTGTCAGGTTGTGTCTATGGCGTTTGCACAGAAGAACCCCAAAAACCAGGCAGAGACTCTCAACTGGTTGGCTAATGCCATGAAGGAGTTTGGCTTTGCTGGGTAATTTACAGTCCTTATTTTAATGCTAATAATAATAATCATAATTATTATT